TAGGCTGGTTCCACCCCTTGGCTATTGTGAAATGTGCAGCTATAAACATGGTTATTCATGTATCTCTAAATATATGATGACTTTAATTCTTCTGGATCAATACTAAGGAATGGGATAGCTGGGTCATAAGGTGCTTTCATTCCTAGTCTTTTGGGGATCCTCCATACTGATTTCTATAGCTGCTTCTTATCAGACCTCTAATAGTGATGTAGGAGCACCCCACCTTCTAGAGAATTTTATTCCCCATCCCTTCCTTTTCTCCCTCTACTCCTGACAACCACTAGATGGCGCACTACACTGATGGCTACAAAGCTCTTCTGGCTTTTTGGTGCCCACCACATGTCCTGGGGAGAAGCAAGTGGCCACAGCTCCCTGGCTGCTTCTGGGCCCTACATCACCTGCTCACACCCGTCTGGCTCCCTTCCAGCCTTGACTTAGTTAGGGTTTGGGGATTCAGGGGTTTCAGGTCTCTTGGTACCTCTTGGATTCCCTATGTGCCAATCCTCTCTGGCTGTATGGATTCCATTCTTGGACTCTTTCTTAGGTCTGACTGGGTCTGAACCAACTTCACTGTTTGTTTGTTTGTTTTTTTTTTTTCATTTTCTGAGCCCTATTTTGGGGCTCAGTTGAAATTTACTTCCACCCATTTTAGCTTCTGGCTCCCATTCCAGAACATCTGCTTGTGTGACCCTTCCTCCTACCTTTTTCTGCACAAACCACCTCTCCAGACCCCTCAGTTCAGCTCACTTGACTATTCTGCCCACCTGTTCAGGCATTGGACCCATAGAGATCTGATTCAGAGGTCAAAATGTAGTTATTTCATGCCTTTCTATATTTCATAAGAAAATAGGTAAGCATGAAATTTTTGCAATACAACATAAGCTCAAACAATTTTCTTTGAAATACTTGTGCAGCTGGCTTTATCCACCTTACTTAATAACTTTAATTTTAGCTGTCCTATTATGGATTTGAAAATTCGGTGTCTTGAAATATCTATTGTCTTTCCGTCATTGTTACCAGCAGATTCAAGGTCAAGTCTCCTAGTTTGGTATATATGCTTGGGGGCCAGCATTGACCCATCCATAAATAATAATAAAAAAAAAACTAAAAATTTAACTCTCTTATCCTGAGCTGGTGTTCTCACTCCTGTGTCTCTGCAGGGATTTCTCTGTCTGGCTACATAAGATGAGAATTCATTTTGATGTTTGGATAAAGCAGCGGCTACAAAACTGACAGCTACTTGGGGACTACACTGGCTCTTTTCTGCAAATACCAGTAGTTCAACATCAGAACGTGTTTATCTTAAGTCACTTAAAATCCTCATTTGTGAAATCAAAGGTTCTGTGCTCTTTTCTTCTTAGAACAGAGGTCAGCAAACTGTGGTCTGTGTTTGGACTGCAAAGCCTAAAATATTTACCATCTCTCCCTTCCCAGAAAACTTTTTTTCCAACCCGTTCTAGAAAATAAACCATGGTGGTTATTTTTATATATGGTAAAGGTTATCAATGTGACATTGAAATGGGTAGGACTCTGATGATCAGTGAACTGTCTAAACCTGGGTGCAAAATTTGGTTTGTGATATAAATGTGCAATTTTGGAGGACAAGGACTTAAAGCTGTCAGCAGGCTCTCAAAGGGGCCCATGACCTTAAAACATGGAGAATTACAATCTATTGTCTCCTGCCGAGCAGTGTCTCACCATAGCATCCAGGTGTGGGCAATGAGACTGACTTTCTCATGTCTTGAAGGACATGCTAGAATCCACTTCCTACCAGAGGATGTGAAAAAGCTTACATGAAACTCAATCTAAATGTGATTGTTTTCCATGATTTTTCATTTTTGTCTTTGGGTCACAAGGCCTGATTTCCCCTGTTCTTGTCTCCTCTGAAGTGCATTATCAGAATCTTCACCCTGAGTACCACTAAATAGGGATGGTGTTCCTACCCCCCATCCCTTGATCTGTGCCTTCCGAGACTCTATCAGCTTCTGGAATCAGAGCCCCAACATGTGCACACCAAGTCACTTGGAACTGGATTCAGAGGCCCTTGCAGTGCCTGTCTTCCATCTTATCCCTTGACAAATCCGTCTCTTTTTCTGTAGATGTTAGTCTGCCCTTTTTAGTCTTTATCCATCATAATTTACATTTGGTATTATTGATGCTTTTGGAAAATATGTAGGATATAAATGATAAGTATAAAATTGAGGACGTCAGGTACAGTGGAAAGACAGTAAAACCCCCCATGATGCCTGAGAATGAGGGTCCCAAACCTTCAAGGGAGACAGGATGGTGTCTGCCCCTGGGGGTTCTGCTGCACCCTTATCTGTTCTGATTGATTTCTATTTTCTTTCAGTGATTCTTCATATTGACTATTAAGATTACTTGGAACTTTTATTCCATTTTCCATTTTGTGTATTATCTATAAATCCAAGATCATTAGTTCCCTTTCAAAGCCACAAGAAATTCATTAAGAAATGCTAATGTAGCCAGGCATGGTGGCTCATACCTGTAATCCCAGTGGCTCAGGAGGCTGAGGCAGGAGGATCACACGTTCAAAACCAGCCTCAGCAATTTTGTAAGACCCTGTCTCAGAATAAAAAAATAAAAAGGGATGGCTCAGTGGTTAAATGCCTCTGGGTTCAATCCCTGGTATTAAAGAAAGAAAAGAAGGGAGGGAGGGAGAAAGGGCTACTTTGTTTCTATCACCTAATCTGATCACCTGCAAAAGAAACAATCACAGGTAGAAAGAATAAGTCAAAGAATTCCTGGTTTTAGCCACCAGGGTACCTGGAAGGAACATGGGAAGAAAGATCTGGAAGCTTTACATCCCTGGGCTTCCGTGATGTCAGACCCAAATCATTTCTTTATAAAAAATATTTGAAATGACCTCTTATAGAATGTTGAAACCAAATGTATAGCTATACCATAAACTACCTACATACATAATTTTAAAGAAGTTAATATCATGCCCTAACTGGGGATATAAAAAGAAAGAAATAGAAAGGAAAGTAATAATGAATTAATATGTGTTTCTCATGTGAACTCTGGGCCACCGTTGCACTAGAAGAAAAAAGGAGTGAGTAGGATAAACTTGCCTACTTATTATAGAAAATCAGTTTGTATTTAAGAGAAGTAGTAATATTCAACTGGATCTTCTCAAGCTTTTTTTTTTCTTGCCCTTGACATTTTGAAATGAAAGGAAAATAAATATGCATAAACACAGTCACTGTGAAGGCACACAGGTGGAGACAGAGTAGGGTGTTGGTCTTGATTCCCCGGGGAAGCCACGCAGTTGAGAGGGGATTTTCTGAAATGGTAAATAACACTTTACAAAGTGTTTGTTGGCATGTAAAAGTTGGTTTCTGAGATAATTTGAGAAAGGTTCTCACCTTCAGGGACACCCTACATCGGTGTGGATATTGGCTGGTTCCATGTGCTGCAGGACTCTACCTGCTGGGGGTATGAGTGGCCCCATCTTTGTGACGACCAAAATGGCCTGCAGGTTACACCATGCTCTCTAGGGACAGCTGTCCCCATTAAGAACCACTGCTCTTCTATAGGTAAAATGCAGTTGCTTTACTCCCCCCATCTCTACCCCCTCTCTTCCCCTCTCCCTCTCCCACCATTCATCTCTCAAAATGCTTGCCAGCAGGAGGGATGGACAATAAGAAAAAAAAAAACCAAACAGGCGAGAAAATTAAGGATTTATGATAATAGCTTTGATGGGAAAACACAAGGTCATTTTCAAGAGAGAGTAGGGGAGTTATTTCAAATAGTGAGTGTGAGAGAAAGCTCTGTGGGGAAATGTTGATGTGAGATCCAGCCATGCGAAGAGCAGAGAGGAGATTCATGTAGAGGAAGCAGCTTATGCAAAGGCCCTGAGGCCAGGAAGAGTTCAGAATGACAGATGAGAAGCCCATATGCCTGGAACCCCTAGGACCATGGTGCTATATGCTCTCTCATCCTTGAATATAAGACTTCTTCACATCTCTTCTTTACTTTATTCAGATTTTTGTTTGGAGAATGGAAAGACTAGAAATAATAGAGGCAAGAAAGGAGTCTCCAAATGGAGGAGTAGATAAGCTTGGGAGGAGGAGCCTACAGAATTTGCAGATGAACTGATGTGGGGTGATATTTAAGAGAAGGAGGGTGATTCTGTTGTTGTCTTCCTGTGTCTCTGGGTGGAAATAATATGGTCATTTGCAGAGATGGCAGGAAAATTAAGAGTGATGATAAATATTCTCACCAAGTTTCTCCCAATAACCATTAAATGCCTCATTTTGATATTTTGGGATGCCCAGGAGTGAAGGCCTGCTTTTGATCTACTGTGCCATAGCTTCAAAGGTTCTTTGGAAACCCCACCACAAATTGTTCCCAGCAGGAAGCAAAACCCCATTGGAGTGGGGTTCAGTGCCCAACTGTAGCTCCATGACTATTCTGGCCTTAATCCATTTTAAAGTCAAAACTGTTGCCGCTGATGGTATTTTGTGGGATTTCTGCTTTTTATAAACTTTGCTTCCTTCCTATTTATTTATTTTATTTTCTCCTTCATTTTCTTGCCCTCTGAGTGCATAACTCTTTGCAGATGAATTAGTCAGCTTTTCATCATGGTGACAAATTACCTGAGTAAACAACTTATAGAGAGGAAAGGTTTATTTTGACTCAGTTTCAGAGAATTTAGTTTTGTGATGTTGGGGGTCTAACTCAGGGTTTTGCACCTGCCAGACAAGTGTGGCCCCCTCTGAGCTACATCCCAACCTAAGTGAATACCTAGAATAGTGCCTAGTGTGGAGGAAGGGCAATATTAAGTGTCTGATAGAAAGACAAAGAGAACAGCTTCATCCACAGCAGGCGGTATCAACCACAGCCACATTCTGGCATCAGATGAAGAAAGGGGTCCACTGGAGCAGGCACATCTTAGAGGAGACCCCCCAAGTTCTGAGGATCTACGTACAGTGCCTCAAGCTGAGATGCTGTGTTTTCATTCTCCTTTTCCCCCATAGGATCATGGCAGATCACCTTGACCTTCTCTTAGGAGTGTTGCTGATGGCGAGTCCTGTGTTCGGAATTCCTTCCTGCTCCTCTGATGGTCGGATAGCCTTATTTCGTTTCTGCAATCTCACCGAGATTCCCTCGGTCCTCAACACCACAGAGAGGCTCCTGCTAAGCTTCAACTACATCAGGACAGTCACTGCCACGTCCTTCCCCCTCCTAGAGCAGCTCCAACTGCTAGAGATCGGGAGCCAGTTTACTCCCTTGTCTATCGACAAAGAGGCCTTCAGAAACCTGCCCAGTCTTAGGATCTTGGATCTGGGTAAAAGTCAGATCGACTTCTTGCATCCAGATGCTTTCCAGGGACTGTCCCATCTCTTTGAACTGAGACTGTTTGCCTGTGGTCTCTCTGATGTTGTACTACGAGATGGTTATTTCAGAAATTTAACTTCTTTAATTCGCTTAGACCTGTCCTATAATGAAATTGGGAGCCTTTACCTTCATCCTTCATTTCAGGAGCTGAATTCCTTAAAGTCCATAGATTTTTCCTTCAATCAGATATCCATCTTATGTGAAGATGAGCTCAAGCCACTCCAAGGGAAAATGCTGTCTCTTTTCAGACTCAAAGCAACTTACCTGTACATCAGAGTCTCAGTGGACTGGGAGAAATGCATGAACCCATTCAGAAATATACGGCTGGAAACCCTTGATGTTTCTGATAACGGCTGGACTGTGGCTATCACAGGAAACTTCAGCAACGCCATCAGGGGAAGCCAGATTTCCTCTTTGATTCTCACCTACCATATTATGGGTTCTGGGTTTGGCTTCCAAAACCTCAAAGACCCTGACGAGAACATATTTACCGGCCTGGAGAGAAGCTCAGTAAAACGCCTGGATCTGTCCCACGGGTACATCTTCTCCTTGAACCCCCGACTCTTTAAGACACTCAAGGACTTGAAAGTTCTGAACCTTTCCTACAACAAGATAAACCGGATTGCGGACAAAGCCTTTTATGGACTTGAGAACCTCCAAATACTCAATATATCATATAACCTTCTGGGGGAACTTTATAATTCCAACTTCGAGGGGCTACGTAGCGTAGCCTACATTGATCTCCAAAAGAATCACATTGGAATAATTCAGGATCAGACCTTCAGATTCCTAAAAGAATTGCATACCTTAGATCTCAGGGACAACGCTCTTAAAACCATTTCTTTTATTCCAGACTTACTTACTGTCTTCTTAGGTGGCAACAAACTGGTGACTTTGCCAAACGTTAACTTTAAAGCCAACTTCATCCACTTAGCAGAGAACAAGCTAGAAAATCTGGCTGACCTCTACGAACTTCTCCGGGTATCTCAGCTCCAAATTCTCATTTTAAATCAAAATCGCTTTTCCTCTTGCAGCCCAAGCCACGCCCCTTCGGGGAATCGCAACTTAAAACAACTTTTCCTTGGAGAAAATATGTTGCAACTTGTCTGGGAAACTGGGTTCTGTTGGGACGTTTTTAAGGGGCTCTCCCAACTCCAGATTCTGTATCTGAATAATAACTATCTTAATTTCCTTCCCCCTGGAGTATTTAGCGATCTGACAGCATTGAGGGGACTGAGCCTCAACTCCAACAGGCTGACGGTTCTCCCTCCTGGCAGTTTACCTGCTAATTTAGAGATCCTGGATATATCCAGAAACCATCTCCTGTCTCCTGATCCTGGTTTATTTGCATCCCTTAGCATGTTGGACATAACTCATAACGAGTTCATCTGTGAGTGTGAACTCCGCACCTTTATCAGTTGGCTCAATCAAACCAACGTCACTCTATTGGGATCTCCTGCAGACATCAACTGCATGTATCCTAACTCGCTCTTAGGGGTTTCCCTCTACTCCGTTTCCATGGAAGACTGTGATGAAGAGGAAGTCTTCAAGTCCCTAAAGTTTTCTCTTTACATTTTATTCATTGTCACTTGGACTCTGTTCCTCGTGAGTGTTCTCATAGTCGCAAAGTTCCGGGGATTTTGTTTCATCTGTTATAAGACAGCCCAGAGACTGCTGTTCCATGACCATACACAGAGAATAGAATCTGATAGGTACAGATACGATGCCTATTTATGCTTCAGTAGCAAAGACTTTGAATGGGTACAGAATGCTTTGCTTAAACACCTGGACACTCAGTACAGTGACCGAAATAGATTTCACCTGTGCTTTGAAGAAAGAGACTTCGTCCCGGGGGAAAACCACATCACCAACATCCAAGCTGCCATCTGGAGCAGCCGAAAGATCATCTGTCTTGTGAGCAGACACTTCCTTAGGGATGGGTGGTGCCTGGAAGCCTTCAGTTACGCCCAGAGCAGGTGCCTCTCTGACCTCAGCAGTGTCCTTATCATGGTGGTGGTTGGGTCCCTGTCCCAGTACCAGTTGATGAAACACCAGTCAATCAGAGGATTCATACAGAAGCAGCAGTACTTGAGGTGGCCAGAAGATCTCCAAGATGTGGGCTGGTTTCTCAATAAACTCTCTCAGTGCATCCTAAAGAAAGAAAAAGGAAAGAAAGAAGACAGTCGCATTCAGTTGCGATCGATAGCAATCGTCTCCTAGTCCAAAGAACAGCTTGCAATTCATCCCAAGCCATAAGGAACGCTTGACTTTGTATTTGCACAAAGTGACCATTTGGGGGCTCTTTCTGGAGGTCTTGTTCCTACTATAAAAACATCAATCTCTTGGCTTTCATGTCAACACGATGTTTGTCTCACTGACCTCCAAGTGGAAAATAATATCTGGAAAATTGCAACTGCCCCTAGAGGTTCCCACTCACCATTGATTTCCTTTCAGACCCAATAATACTGTTCTCTCCTGTTGTATGGACTACAGAATGTCCCCTAGTCATGGAAAGGGCACCTTGGAAAAAGTTACAGGTGGCTTCATGGTTTTGCAGGGTTCGGTTCAAGAATGGTCTGGTCTGTGATTCTGATAACTCTGTTTTCGGCAAAACAATACTAAAAAGAACTGAGACCTCTTTCCTTCTTTGGCTTTAGGAACATCAACAGTGCTGGATGCAGGTCACATTTTATCTTGGGGATAAAAGGTGGTCCCAAGGAACCTTCAACTCCTCTGAGTCTAACCCTTGTGAACCATGCCATTTTGCATGTGACTCTTCTTTCAGCCTGATGCTCAGGACCTACCATGTTAGCACCAACCTACCTCTTGAACTTCCCTTCCTGCCAGTAACACCTCATTCATCAACTCCGTAAGCTGTTGTAGGAAGAATATGGACTTTATACACAGATCCTGGATCAAATTTTGATTCTGCTGCTTGTTAGTTGGGTCACTTTGAGTATGGTACACCCTTGCTGGGCCTGCTTTCTTGCCTGTGGACATCACAGTTACTAGGAAAATTATATTAACCAAGAATGTCAGGACTTCTCAGATCTTTTCCTTAGTTTTCCTAATGGCCACAAGAGATGAAACACACTGAATGGCCTCTGGGGGCAGTTGGAGTGTCTTTGAATTTGTAATTTTTGCCCTAAAAGGAATCTACATGTATTTCACATTCTAATTCTTTTTTTGTGTGTTTCTTAATATAGAGGCATGTTTCTACAAAAGCATTAATAAAATTTTTAGCCAAAGAACATGTGTCATATTTACCTGTTAGCTTCACATTCAGCCTCTTCTACATCCGACATACTGTATGTTGTAGTCATGTCAATGACTGCAGCTCAAGGAGTACTCTTGGGCTTAGGACTCAGCACTCCCAAATGTCACTCCCTTCCCCTCATGGTGCATCCCAGTCCTCACCTCTTTAACACACGCATATATACATACACACAGGCTGTTCTCATGGCTTCTTTGGGACTCCTCTTATCCATGAGACGGAGCTCACTCTGCACCCAGTGATGGACTTGGCCTTATGAAAGCCACGAGCACCACACCCTGTTCTTCCTTTCTGGACTATTTTCCCAGGTCTTTCCATATATGTTCTTCAAAATCAAGGCCATGAAGCCTCTGGGGATCCCTCCAACCCAAAGTCCTCTCTCTTGTGAAAACTCCTGGCACTTTATCAGTTCATTTTAAACTAGCACCTTCTACTTCCTGCCTTTGAGAGCTGTGAGCCTGTCTGGCCACCTACCCCTCTGGACTACAAACCCTGTGACACATCTTCCATGTCTCCCCGTCACTGGCCGTAACAGATCACATGTAGTTTCAGGCCTTCACAAGAGTCCCCCACCAGCATATCTTGTCTGAGCGTCCTCCTCCACTGAATTTCTTCTCCCCACCTTGGTCTTTTGGTGAATTTCCTAGCCCCGCATGACTTCCCATTCATCCTGGTCCCATAGATTTCTGTCACTAAGATGTGACACTTTTGCCAATGTGTTTCATATGTGTGAGCTTGGCACTCAGGACTGGGAGATCCTGATGGCAGGACCTTGTCTTGTTCGTCTGTGTATCCCAGATCCAGGATGATGCCTGGGCCATAGGATGTGCTTAATAAATACATGACATGTACTGTGATGGCCACCCTTATGTCAGCACCTGCTGCTATGAGTCTGTGGGGAGAGGCCAGGCAGGGAGAGGCCATGATAACTGGAAGTCCATGGAGGTGCGGAATGGCAGGGTGAAGCGAGAGGAGACCACAGGCTCTAAATACCAACTCAACTCCCAAGCATGGATGGGCTAGAATGGAGGGAGGGATAGAGAGGTGAGGAAGGGAAACAACCCACATAAATCTGCAGGGGGTAAAGTCCTCTTGAATCTGGTTCTGAGAAATATAGTAAAATAGAACCAAATCGCTGCTGCTAGAAACAGTTACAAAAACAAGTCAAAAAGATTGGAGAAGGCCACCCTGGGCCAACTCAGTCCTACCTGTCACCTGTGCTCATCAGCCTTTATTCTCCCCAAGCTGCAGGAGCAAGGGCAGCCATGAGGCTGATGGGGGTCCTCATCTGCACCTCTTATAAGGCAGGTCTCTTGGGGAAAGGAGGTTGCTAGTTTGGGGTGGGGAGTGGGGCTTGGGTGGGAGTAGTGCTATACCAGGGAACCTTTCCCTTGCTTTGGGTGACCATCACCAAACCTCAGACACGTAAAATTACAAATGCAAATGTACTCATAGAACAGTAAGTTGGAACACAGATATGTCTTGGCGTATGAAAGAGGTCTATCTCACAGCCTTTCCTAATCCTCATGTTTAAGAACATAACTACCAGGTAATTTACCTAATGAAGTATGTTCAACAAGCAAGCACCTTTTGTCACTTCTATACAGAGTTCCTAGGAGACCTGCTCACCATACATCCACTATTGAATTCAACATGCCCCCCCCCCCCAGTTTATTCCAGAACTTCTGTTTGGCAAAGACCCAGGACTTTCTTCAATTCTTTTCATTTGTCATTTCTTCCATCACCAGTACCTGGATTTCTTTTTGAGGCCATTTTCCCAAGTCTTTCTCACTCTGTAAGAGTTGCTACACATATGCCAAGAGGAAGGTCGAGCACAGCCGTGTTGAGAAGTGAGAGCCGCGGGGTCAGAGAGACCCTTCTTGCTGGGCAGTTGTTCCTCACTCACTTCACAGCCATTAAAAGTCAGGTCTCAGTAAACAGATAAACTCCATTGTGCTGGTCAGATTTCTTTCATGATAGCAAATACCTGAGACAAATCAACTTATAAAGAGAAAAGGTGTGTTTCTACTTGCAGTCTCTCGAGGTTCCAGTCCATGGTCAGTCAGCCCCATTGCTTTGGGGCCTGTAGTGAGGCAGCACATCATGGCAGGGAGCATGTGATGGATCAAGGTTACTCACCTCATGGCTGGAAAGAAAAAGAAGAAGAAGAAGAAGACGGGGCTGAGGTCCCCAGTCCCCTTGGCGAGTACACCTCTAGTAACCCGAAGACTTCCCAGTAGGCCCTGCCCCTCAAAGCTTCCATCACCTCCCAAGAGCATCACTGTGGAAATATGGGAGGGAATCTCTGGGGAACACTCAAGATCTAAACTATAGCATTCATTGTGCACAGTCCATTGGAGTCATGCCAAAATAGTAGGAACTACTGCAGTGCAATCTAAGAATGCCCAGAGCTTTTCAGGTTTGAAGTTGATATTATTCTGGAAAATTTAGAATAGTGATTGGGGCTGCTGAAAACTTCAAAGAGAATCTCCCTCATCACCCCAAATACAAGGGACTTTGAAAAGTCCTTGCCAATCACATGCACCTGCAATAAATAGTATTTCAAATAGTCTTAATATAAAGTAGAATGAATGTGATTTAAAGTTTTAAATCATGCAATGAAATAGCTCTATTAGGAGGATAAGAGACTGTGGTGTGTACATGTAAGATAGTTACATGTTCATCTACTGCAATAAGCAATCAATATAAAGAGTTTATAATGTTAAACCAAGAAATAACATTCTAAATGCATATTTTAAAACATAGAAATGACAGAAGAAAACACTAGATGGATTAATGATGAATATCTGAGGGGTCCTGATTAGTTCTTCCAAGGGGAACATCTAGAAAGGCTGGAGAAATTAATTTTTAGAATCTATTTAAAGGCATTGGGGAGCTGCAAAATAGTAACTAGAGCCAAGATCCAAGAGAAGAAAATCAAGAGAGATGGATCCATTAATTAGAAGAGAGCATCAATGAGTGAAAAGGCAAACCATAGCATGGTAGAAGATATTTGAAAACATTTATCTGAAAAAGACTCATAATGCAAATATGAAAACATGTTTACAAGCCAATAAGGAAAAGACAGCAGAAAAGACAACTGGGCAAGATATTGAAGATTTTACAAAAGAATATCCAATGCCCAACACACAAATGAAAAGATATTCAAGTTCATTTAGTCATCAGAGAAATGCAAATTAAAATTACATTATAACCAGGCCTGTAATCCCAGCCACTCAAGAGCCTGAGGCAGGATTGCACGTTAAAGGCCAATCTGGCAACTTAAAAATAAAAATAAAACGAGCTGGAGATGTAGCTCCGTGGTGGAGCACCCCTGAGTTCAATTCCTAGCAATTAAGATAAAATAAAATGACATATTGTCATACCACTACAAACCCACCAGACTGGCTAAAATTAAGGGGGCTGACAGTATCAAATAGTGGAAAAGACAAAGAACAATTGAAACTCTCCTGTGTTACTAGGAATTGGCACACTTTTAAAAACAGTTTGCATTATCTATGGAAGTTGAATTCACACATGCCCTATCATGCTGCAGTTTTACTCACAGATATATATGTACACACCAGGTATGTGCACACCATTCGCATGTGCACCAAAAGACACATAAAACATCTTAGAATCATTATATGTAGGAGCCAGCTTTGGAAACATCCCTTGTGTTCATTATCCATACAATGGATAAGTTGTGTAATTGAAAACTAGACAGAAATGAAAACCAATTAGGGCGAATTGTAAAAACATGAGTGCATCTCACAAAAATGTAAAGTCATAATGATGCATAATGATTATACACTGAGTGCTTCGATTTTCAGAAACTTCAAAAAGGCAAAACCCATCTATGATAATGAAGATAATGGTCACCTTTGGAAAGTGCTGGAGGGGACTTGTGAGATACTGGTTATTTTCCATTTCTTGATGGAAAATAAAATGAGTGATGGTCATTGGGTGTATGCACTTAGTGGTGTTGCATTTTATCTGCACCCATTAATTTGTTCACTTATCTGTAAGGTCTTATTCTTCAATTTTAAAAACAAAAATTTTAAGAAGCAGGCAGATTTCAGGGGTTGTTGTTAAAGGAATAGAAGACACGTAGTAGACCGATTCATGTAGAACTAATGGGACATGCTCCCTGAACACCTTATTTTTGCAAAATGAGTTTTTTCTTGCTCTCCCAACCAAAGGAAAAAAACACAATGGATTATGATGGGGACCGAGGGAGATTAGGAGGAGGGGCAGAGGGCTGCAGGCTTTCACTATGGGTCTTTTGTATTATTTGATGTTTAACTCTGTACATGCATTTCATTAACCACTGTTAAAATAGGCAAAAGTACAGATGTGCTTACATAAAATTGAGATGATAACTTCTGTCCACGGCAGCAGCGAATATAGATAGGATTAGCCAGAATTTGAAAATGAATCCACAAAGAAAACAAAATTACTTCAGCAGATGAATATGTATGCAAACAAGATATATGTTTTGCTTGGTTTTATTTTTCTTAAGATTAAAGGGATTTTTAATCTGTTTGACTTTGCAATTAAATGTTTTATTTCTCAATAGCTTCCATTTAGATCGAACTTTTAAGAAATGAAACGTTTTTATTTTACAGAAAATTCCATGGAAAGAACTTGCTAAGGCTCCTAGATTCCTCTCAGGCACCAGAGTCCAGGCAAGTCTGACAAGGTGGCTTTATTCCTGAAACTTGGGGACCTGATCCAAGTGGCTGGAAATCATGTTTCTTTTCCCAGCGCAGGCCGTTCACCTCCTCAGGCCTGTTTCCCTGTCTCCTCCCCAGGAAGGTCGCCTCTCAGAGACGTGATAAAAAGTTGATGACATCATGTCTCTTTGGGAGCCCGGCTGCCCTTCAGGAAGCAGGTGTTGGGAGGACCTGAGGCTGGGACCTTTTTCTGCTGCACTGACGGGGTTCGCTGTGCAAGTAGCCCGCAGGGCCTAACACTTGAGGCCACCTCCATGGTTTTTCCAGTGGCCTGGGCTGTTAATTGGATCCCAGGGCTTTCTCCAGCTGCAGCTGTGTTATAGGGCCAGCATCTTCCAAGTCTGCAGGTCATGCCAAGCCTGGAGGGATTTGCAAAAAAAAAAAAAAAAATGTCACCAGTGGTGCACTGGTCCCTGT